AAATTTCCACAGGAGTTAAAAGTTTACTACTTAAACCTGAACAAATAAGGCAGTAAATGCAGAGCAGGCGTCCTGTGCACGTACATTTGTGCAACTTCTACTAGTCTTGTTCCTTTGCTCGTCCCATTAGCTTTAAATTTTTAGAATCCTTTGCACGTTGCATTGACATGAATCTATAACAAGCTGTTTGGTTTCACAGTGATACTAGTTCCTGTGCAAAGAGTAACCTGAGAATTTTTTGGCATCATTTAGACTTCAGCTTCCCCATTCATCCTCTTCTTCCTCTCTCCGCCCCCATCCCAAACGGTTGTCCATTATGGTTTGAGTTTCTGTATAGTTGGGCACTAGCTAAACCAATTTTACTTGACTTTGATTTCTTATGAAATGTCATGTTTTAGTTTTGTACATAGCGGAGCCAGTGCAATTTTGTTTCTTCTCACATCCTCATACATAGCAAGACTTAAAGACAGGTTTGATTGAATGTAAAATCAACTTTACACTAAATGGAAACTACTCCCTTACTCCCCCCTGCACCCCCAACTACAAATACCAAAGCAGAATGGCGGCTGGGGAACCAGGATTTAGGCAGGAGGAGAGGGCAGCAGAATGGCCAAGTCTGCTACCCCTTTTCTCCAGGTCACAGAAAACCTCACTTCCATGGAAGCAGTAACCCCAAATAGCTTTGTTCTTGATGTGGAAATGAATGCTTTATTTAAAAAAACAAAAGCCATTTTGCTCAGTTAGTGGTGAGGTATGTCTTTATCTACATAAAGATTTCCACAATTCTCCAGATTCCTGAGAGTCATCCAATTATCCATTTCTGGGTTCTAGAACAAAGGCTTAGGGGTTAGTCAGTAATAGTTTGTAAGCCAAGGTGCTGTTGAAAATAAAGACTTCTCATTTTACAGAATCACTTTGGATTCAGTCTCTCAGAAAACCCAGTTGCTACTTTGTCCCGCACACGTTTCTATGCTGTTTGTAAAGTTATAAAAGTGAAAGTGGCAATCTTCCTTTGAACACAGCGTTTGTAATATAATAGAAGTGGGAAAATGGCTATCTGCCCTTGAAGGAACCCTTGATCCCTGACCTGAAACTACTGAGAAGGGCCTGCTATAACTGCATTTACTTAGAACAAATAGTGTTAATCAAGCAGCTTTGTTACTTGTGAGAAAGAGATGTTTACATCACAAAACAAAAGCTTGAGGAAAAATAGTTTGCAGATCTTTGGGGTTTAATGGAGCTAACTACAATGCTGCAAATGTAGCACATTTCAAATGAACAATTCTTTTTAAACATTTTGTTTTTAACTGTCCTTGAAAGAGGACCTGCCTTCTATATGCTTTAAAGATACACCTCAATTTGTGCGCAGCAGAATTTTTGATATAAGGGTACGTTCTGAAGTTTTCAGTTTCGATATGAATGTATTTCAGAAGTTCCAGTTTTGCTGGCAGGGCTCAGTGCTGACCAAATCAAGTTAAGCTGTTGTTGTGCAATACTGCATTTCGAATATTACCTTATTTTTACTTTAGGGTAAAGTAAGAAACAATTAGAAATAGTCTTACCTGGAGAAGGACCTCTTATGGTTTCTTCTGGCTCCAAGATCTTAGGACATTTTCCAAAGTTATTACTGTCCATGTAGGACTCCTTAATGTTTCTAATATGGGCTGAAAAGTCCAAGCAAATAGAATAAAACCAAAAATCAAACCATCCCAAGAGGAGAACGCCACTAGACGTCCAGCTTGGCCTGCCTTCCCTTTCCAAAAGTGTTAAGCTTTTGAGCCTTTAAAAATGTTTTTTAAATGTCTTATTATCATTAGGATTTAGTGTTGGATCTTAGTACATTAAGAGAAAATTGCAAGCACAGGACTCCATGATCATATTAGCTAGGTTTGGGTTGCTTGGTGTGTTTAGCGGTAAGCCTTGCCATCACTGAGAACATCGATGTGGTATGAATGTATTAAATAGGCCAGCAAAAAATACTTTACCTGTAGACATGTTAAATCTCGGCATGTTTGACAGTTCACAGGTTAATACTGAATGTAAACTAAAAAATCAGAATGAGAATCATTATATTCAGTTTTTTTCTGTAATTTATGTAATTGCTTTCTGATTTTTTTTTTGGAAAGGGGGGCACCTGTGTTACTTTATTACTGTAAAATTTTCTTAACCAAAACTTGGTGAATTTCACTAGTCAGTCTACCTCACATTTTATTGTTTATGATTTTAAATTGTCTGACGTTGTGCCTACAGTATGTTTATAATGTACTTTCGTTTAATTTGGTGAATGTATTAAATTTCCCTTTAATAAGATGTTGCATTTTCTTTAAAGGCCCCCAGAATAAGTTAATCAAAAAAAAGTCTATTTTTCCTTTAACCACAAAGATTGAATACATTGTCTAAAGGGAAGAGAACCACCCTTTATATACTTCAGCTAAATTTTTAGAACAAAGGGTTTTTTTATATATATAAAAGCACTGGTATGTGTGTAATTCTGGCTCAACACAATGAATTTAAATACTGTCAATTCTGAGAAGTGATGATTCTAATTTAATAGCCCAGTAGGTCTCTGCCAAGGTTTATTATATACCCATGTCCATTTGCATATTTGAATAACTCCACATATGTAGAAGACAAATCTAAAACTTACTACATAGATTTTGGAAATTCCAAGTCTGCCTTCTGAGGCCCCTGTCATAAGGAAAAATTAGTGTCTGTCATGGCCCTGTTGAGGCTGAATCAAACATTGGTGGATTTATAAATGATTTCTGTACCTTTCAAGTATGAAGGCATACATTCTCAACTCTGGCATGGGAGAAAAAAAACTTTCAGGGCATCAGTTTTCTGACTGTGATAAGACAATGGCAGTATAAAATTTTGGTTTTTTTCATAGGTTGCATTGTGTTCTTCTCTAAAAGTCTTAGTCATTTATCATTTCTGGTCTTCACCTTTGCTTTAGCTCTAAAGAGTCAAATAAAGTCAGTCCTTTTGGAGTTTTGATTCTACAGAAGGATGGCAAACTTTTGTGTTTGACTAGAACTAGTAATCCACTCTAGATTAGCTACAGGTCTGTCCAGATGTTGCCTAGGGTACCTTTGGTCCTTTCCTACCCACTTAACTTTATAACAGTGGGCAGCATGGGCACCTGCTTTTTTACCAGAGGTATTGTTCTGAGGACAAAGGAATTTTTTCTGTTTAGGTATACATAGTAAAAGTTTGGAGTTATAGAAAAAGAGCCCATTTAGACCTCTAGGGTGAGTGGAAAAACAGCCAAGAGACTGAATTACAGGCACAAGAGAAAGGCCACAATATTCTAATTCCTCAGCCTAACGAATGCCTAGCTTCCCCGGCCCTACCTCCTAAACTAGAGTCACTGGGTGGGGTAGTAGTTGTACCCAAGTCACTGGAAAAGGCCTAGGATGATAAGCAGTGAGGCAAGTCAGAGAGCACACATTTATACAGTAAAGTGTTTCTTCCAAATGAGCCTGTGATTCTCCACTTGGAGGTAACTGAAGTGTTTTATCCAAGTCACCTTAATTAGCTAAGTGGTGCAGTTGCAATACACACTCCAGTCTTCTGACTCCTTCTGCCTGATTATGTTGTAACATTGGCTGTATGTACTCATTTGCATCAAGATGATACTTTAAGTCATTTTCATGAAAGTGGAAACCACGCAAACTTACTCCACTCAGGGATCCTTGAAGGTGATTAACTTGACTTATGTAGGTACTGCCTAGTCTTCTGGCCCATGTGGGATTGAAGCATATATGACTTTGGCTTGACACAATGTTCTAAGCACAAATGCATATTTTATATAAAACAAATTTCAGCCTGTATTTAAATGGACATGATTCCCAGTTAGTGAGGTCATTAAGCCAAAAAAGGAGGAATTTTTTCCCTAAAACTCACTGATATATATAAAATCCTCAAGGAACCACTTGAAAGAGCCTTGTCTCCTAATAAAGCATCTTATGAAAAAATATCTTTACTTCATCCCTACATCCTAAGATCCTTAGAAGATGAATGTGTTTCACCATTCTGTGAGGCAGCTATGTCGCACAGTGGATAGTGTTGGGCTTGGAGTTAGGAAGTCCTGAGTTCAAATCCAGCCTTGGATACTGACTGGCTGTGTAACTCTGGGCAAGTCATAACATCTCCATGCCCTAAATTCTTCCTCTGTAAAATGAAGATATAAAAAGAGCACCCACTTATCTCCCAGGGTTGCAGTGAAGATAAAATGAGACAATATTTGTGAAGCCTTTTGAAGACCTTAAAGTGCTATATAAATGCTATTATTACCATTCCTGCCCTTTTTCTTCATTCGTTGAACAAGTATTTGATCACCTACTACATTTAAGGAATTAAGAAAAGTGCCTACTCTCTTAGTTTACTTCAACAGAACATAACAATAGTTGGTATTTATATGTTCTTTGAGGTTTACAAAGTTTTTCACATACTTTTCTCTCATGTGACTCAACTACCTTGTGAGGTGTGGTACAAGCATCATTGCAATTTTACAGAAGAGGAAAGGGTGGCTTAGAAAGGTAAGGTATCAGAGCCACAGAGACAACTAAAAAAGCAGGAGTGAAAATACATTAAGACACAAATATCTTAGGGAGTTCAAAAGAGGCAGAGGCAGAGAACCCTTCCAGTTAAGTGAGATCAGAAGTTTCACTGACAGGCATTTGAGCCATGACTTGAAGGGTGATTAGAATACATTTTAGATGGAGGGACAGTGAGCAAAGAAAAGGTAGGGAAAGCAAGTGAGGCATGGTGGGAGATGGGCAAGTGGATTCCAGTTTGATCCCACATTTGAAAGGCAGAGAAAGCTGACAAGACTCAGTAAACTAAGATGTGAGCTGTGGATTACTTCATGCTGCAGCATCTGCACTTGAACAAATGGTGGCAAAGACTTTTGAATCATCGAACGTCAAGGGGTTGAACTCAACCATTCAATTCAAAACAATGACAACATGTTTCACATCATGCCAGCACCGGTACCATTTAGAAAAGTCTACCAAGTTATTTATTCTTTTATTCTACATTATATACAGATCAAGAAAGGCCACAGCAGTTTTTCAACATATAAACCCTTTAAAAGTGGAGGGCATTATACAGACAAGTATACAACTGAAGTCCAGTAATAAAGGCATATATCCAGTGCAGTATTTCTGAGGAAAAAAAAAAAGCAGATACCAGGGCCATTCTTATTTAGCTTCGACCTTATTAATAAATCACAAAAAATCTTTTTCGAGAATTTGGTAAACTTGACATAATTGGGCTTCATTTTCCTGTAGGATATACAGAAATGCACAAGTTGGAACAAGGTGTACAATCTCTGCTCCTACAGTTTGTTTTTTTCCCCATTAAATTCTACCCATAAGAAACTTTCCAGAGGCCCAACCCTTTTGACCAACTCCTACTTCACTTTTCTTTCTCATCAAGGAAAAAAAACCTAGCATCTCACATACTTTCTATTTCCTCGGTGCATGTGCAAATGAGGGCAAGTACATACAAACATCCTGGAGCTTTTAACTGCCACTGTTTTCTAAAAAACAATGTTGTCCCCCCTTTAATAATATCCCAGAAGCACTTAAGTTTCATTAAAATACAATCTTTAAACTCTTATGCTTCAAAAGCAAAACTAGGATCAGCAGTTCAGTATAAAAAAAGATACAGTACCAAGCAGCACTGATATATTACCATATTAGGAACTTCAATATATTATACTCATCACTGAGACCATAGTCCTTGCATTAGTTTACAGTCCACTATGAACAATTAATTATCTGCTGCATGTAAACATGACTAAATAACTATAGATAAAATACAATCATAAACTTCTGTAAAAGATAACAAAATATCTTCTTTTAAAAAAACAAAAAATTAAGCTATTACTGCATTGTTTCCAATTTTATTAAAATGGAACAACCTTTTGGTTGTTACCAGTCCTGAGTTCATTGTAATAAAAATGGCCCTAGTTCCTGGTTAAAGTCAGCAAACAATCCATAATATCCAGCAGATGTAGTTAAATCAACATAGACAAGATTCTATTAAGAGTTCTTTTGTCCATTAATAAAATTATATACCAGAAACTGGCCAGTGCCACAGTACTGTGTTGCAAAGAGTTTCCCATCAGGTGTAGGATCTGAAAAAGCAATTTCTTCTTTGCTCAAATATGAGCCATATATAAAGTTGCTCCTAATTTCAAAAGAAAGAAAGAAAAAAAAGGGGTGAGGAAACATGGTACAGTATAAAAAGTACTATATTATAAAACTATCATAAAAACTTTTTTAAAAGAACATATAAATAACAACTATTATATTCCTGTCGTACTGTAAACTAGGAGAGTAGGCACTCTTCTTAACTGGGAGACTCTGTAGGTAATAGAATACAATTCCAATTCCAAAGTAACTGCTACAAATGCTTATTCATCACACATATTATTCACCTCTTAAACACTTAACAAGTTTGCCTAAATGTATCACTTTCCAATTAGCAACAATTTTTTGTTGTGTGCCCAGCCCCACAGAATTGTTAAGTGTGCATGTGTAATTGGAGCACTCCATGATAACAGAACTAGCACAAGAAGAACAAGGAATGGTTTAGCTCAGTGCTTCTTAAACTTAAACTACAACTTAAGAAGTGCTGAAGAGGTCACAAGTGGAAAAAATTTAAGAAGCCCTGGTTTAGCTGAGAAAAGTGACAGTGAGAAGAGGGAGAAGGGAAAAGAGCTTGTTAGCTCAGAACTGTTTGGAGCTCTTCTGGCTACACCTGCATGATTTCCAATTTTAGAAAAATGCAACAACCTCTTGGTTATCACCAGTCCTGAATTCACTAGTATGAAGGAAAGGCAGGATAAGTTAACTCCCTCAGAACAGGCATCATGCCAGTCTAATACCCATCATGACATCATAAAGAACTGGAAGGGACCTCCATCTTGAGAAACTAGAATGAATATAAATAAGACAAATGACACCCAAAAATATCTATGGAAATTAACATCAAGGATAGTATAAATGAAATCCATAATAATTCTAAAGAAAAATAGAGTGAACAGATTTGGAGTGAGAGGAGCTGGGTTCAAATCCCACCAAAATCACTGCTCCAGGGGTAACCTTGGAAAAGTCATTTTCTCTCTCTAGGCCTGCTGTCTCATATGTAAAATAAGGAAGATGGGCCACAGTTTCCATGATCCCTTCCAACTCTAAATCTATGATCATTTTAGTTAACAATTTCATCTTCTTAATCCACTAAAACTGCGAAGAAAGCAGACTTGCCTAGGAGTTCTCCCTCCTCTATCACTGCCGTCCTCAGAAAGAGATTTTAACGAATAAAGCTATGCAAGGTAAGTAAGTAGAGCAAAGAGAAACAGAACAAGCAAGCAGCTAAGATAAATCACAAAGAGATTTGATCTGCACAATCTAAGACTAAGTCTGAATTCATTTCCACTGAGTGGATTCATTCTCAAAAGGCAAAAGTACAAGCAACAATTCTGTAACTATCACGACTCTTGCAGTATCTACACATTTACAGGTCTATTACAATCAGGGAGGCACAAATTCTGTGCAGGTGACTAACTGCCAGCCTCTTCTTCCTTACACTTTTCCTTCTACATCTACTACCAATAAAAGACTCAATCAAGCTAACATAACCTATGTTGCTTCCTAACTCATCTTCCTGAGCCTTCTGAATGAGCTGCATCTACAAGTCAGCATGGGACAGAACAAAACAAAAGTCACCATTCTTGACCAAATCCACTCAATTCTACCCCCTTAAATTTACTGACATCTATAACAAGGAGGTCATAAGCTGATTTCCTAAATTTGGAGGAAATGATGCTGGACTTTAAGGATTAAACCAGTTGGGGGGCAGCTAGGTAGCACAGTGGATAGAGCACCGTCCCTGAAGTCGGGAGGACCTTAGTTCATATCCGGCCTCAGACCAATTGACCCACACTAGCTGTGTGATCTTGGACAAGTCACTTAACCCCGATTGCCTCACTTAAAAAAAAAAAGAATTAAACCACTTGGACTTTCCAAGTACAAGACCAAAATAAATAAATAAATGAATAATGGTATCTAAAACCACTTGGTTCAAAATAAAAATTTACTAAATATGGCATAGAAAATATGGACTGTTAGAACTCTACCTCGGCAACAAAAGGGTTAGATTTCAGTCAGTAAAAGGGAAAAGGGTAATAGTCTTTTTCATTTTGGCCCACTGAACTGCCACGACCATAAAATGATTAGATGGCATAAAGTTTATAAACTGATCCAGCTTACATGTTTCTATATGGACTCTAAAAAGAGCATCATTGAGCTTTTTTTTCCTCCATGTATTTCAGAAATATTAATTTAATGTCTATATAATCTAGATGAGTTTTAAAACAAGGTATTACTGTTCTCATAAGGGCTAAATCACTTACTGTGGAAATTAAATTGCTGTGTTGTAAGTGCCACGAGCCACAGTAATGATGGACTGAAATCTTCCCAGGATAATAATACAAGCTAGTGTTTATGTACTGCCTTAAGGTTTGTAAAAGCACTTTACATATTGTTGGTAGGTGCTATTATTACCCCTATGCAGAGTGCTATTATTATCCCCACTTTAAAGATGAGGAAAGTGAAGTTAAATGACTTGTTCAGGGTCCCACAACTAGGAAGTATCTAAGGATAGATCTGAACTCAGGTCTAACTGACTCCAAGTCTGGCACCCTCTATCCACTATGTCACCTGGATGCCTAGAATTTAATTAGTAAACCTGGCTTACATAAATTGAAATCTAAATGTTCCCATTACTTCCCAAGTCAACAAAATTTTAAATTAGCCAGTTTGCTTTCCTTAAGTCCAAAGACTTTTAAAGTATAACGTTTTAAATAACTTTCAAATGTTGTTTTATTTTTGTACATACCAAATATCTTACATTCTGAAGATTATCTACTATGAAGGTTTATTATTTCAAAATACTAAAATTAAGAGGCAAATGCAAAAAAAAAAAAAACACAAAAACTAAACAAAGCACAGTATTTGAAACAAAAGAACTGAGTTTAAAATTGTACTATTTTAAGTTCATAGACATTTTATAGGATTTTGGTAAATACTTTTTTAAAAAACTGTAAAGCAGAATAGCTTTAAAATGAGACAATTATTTCATTCAATATTTTGAACAGAGCCTGGTATGAAGCCTAAAGCTGGCTTTATTCAGGACAGCCAATATGTTATATCTGCCTCAGTGCTGAAACCTTTTAAAGAAATATTCACTTTTTTTTGGGTTCAGATACAAAGTTGCTTAGCTTTGCAGGACTATCTGAGAAATGACCTTCGTATCATAACTTTATAACAAAGCAAAGAAAGTCTGTTGGCCTTAGAAGACAATTCAGAATTTCCTGATAGAAAAAAATGTCTCTTAAAAAAAAAGTCTCAAGTTCCTGCACATAAGTAAAAGGACACTTTTATGCTCTACTTTGAATGATGTTATGTTCTTTGAGATTCTTCTATATTGTGCTTGTGTCCTGAATGATTTGATTCATAGTAACTACTTTCATGTTATCAAACTGATTTGCATTGAAAACAAACTGTAAATAATAATAAAAATAAATGCTTTTAAGATTCACATTTCTAAATTATTTACCTTAGACATTCAATCATTCGAGAAGCTATTTTTCTTCGACGCATCATGCTGAATACCCAAATGCGACTAATCCCACAGACAGCAGGTTCAGGAGAGGTTGAGCAGCACCAGGCTTTTTGCCGTTCAAATATAACTTTCTCATTTTCTGAATTGACATCTGGGACTTTATCTTCTATAACTCTATAGCCCTATAATTAAATTTAAAATACATTATGACAAAATATTTTGTCAGTAAATGTCTCATTCTGACCTAGCTAGGTTTACAAAGTAGTGTGTCTGGTATCTTGCCAAATTCCACTAAATTTAAGACTATGTTTTCATCTCTACAACTCCAGTTTCCTAACATAAGTGGGCTATTGGATATAACTACTTCATAAATAATTATCTCTCTGTTCCAGCTCAAAGGAACATTCCCCATCCCATCTCCCAAACCGATGAATTTAGAATAATGGGCACTAAGTTCTTAAGAATCTAGAAATTATTCCTTTTTTTAAAAAAAAATCTTCCTTCACAATCTTATGAGACCATACCAGCCCAGCTGAAGATGTGGCAACTATAATGATGGGATAAGGCAGAGTACATTAAAGAGTAATTAAAGTCATAGAGCATAGAAAAAATTATTTTTTTATTAAACTTTTTTCAAAGTACTGTTTAAGCAAATACACACATACACACACACACACACAGAGGCAGAGATAATTTCACTAAAAATAGTGTTGAAAGGAAGAGTAAGTATTGGTCAATGAAATTAAAACATAGCTTTTCAAAGAGAAGTGGTCCTCAGAATATTTATACATAATCCATCACATTACAACTCTTTTTGCCCTAAGACTATTACTAAGTTAACAGAGCCCTAAGCCTCAATAAAGAGAGAAGTATGAGTTCCCTTTACAAAGAATCCTCATGGTGCATGAGGGGGAAAAAAATTGTATATGAAGTCAGACTTGGCCTTTGCCATTTCACTGAGTCACTTGGATTTTTAAATCATTTAACTTGAGTCTCACCTACAAATCCTGTACACTTCTTGTACGTTCCTAGTTATTTCACATGTTTCTCCCACTAGAATGTAAGCCCCTTAAAAATAAGAGCTGTTTTCACCTTTTTTTGTATTCATAGTGCTTAGCAGTGACTGAAGCAGAGTAAGGGATTAATTAATACTTGCTGATTGATTACTACTTGAATTATTAGTCTCATAGTATTATGAGGTATGAGATAATTTAACCATAAAGACTATATATAAATGTGAGTTACTTCTGGTAGGTCAGCAAACTGATAGCTAGAGCAATATGTTTAACTGGTCTGCCTCAAAAAGCATTAAATAACCAGAAAATAAGCCTGGAAACCAGGAAGACCTGGGTTCAAGTCCTGCCTCTGTCACATAATAGCTGTGTGTCTTGGTGCTTTAGGCAACCCTTTAAGATGCAGAGAAAGTACATACACCCGAGGGTTCCAAGACCAACAGACCACAGGGCAACTGCTTTTTCCTACTCCAACCTTATATCTTTATGTTCAAGACATAGGCTGTACTCCAGATTTGTAAAGGAAAAAAATATGAAACACTGACTGCCCTCAAGGAGATTATATTGTACAGTGAACACGTTCATAGATGATTAAACACAGGGTATTATGAGCAGTGGGAGTACAGCGCTAACACCGGGAAGATCAGGTAAGGCTTCACAGATGAGGTGGCACATGAGGTGAAAATGTGATAAAGTGAGTGCTTAATAAATGCTTTTTGATTGAAGACAAACATTCTACTCAATATTTAATAAAGCTAATAGTTTAAACAAGTTTTATAATTTAAATAATATCTAGAAAATCTTGGAATTTTAGGTTAAATAAATATTTTGTAAAATATTCTAACATCTAATCAAACCAAGATGGAATTGTTTCCTCATGCTGTAATATTTTACCAAATGAGTATTTTCACCAACTTGATGTGATGTATTATTAAAATATTAAAAGAGCAATGACATATTGTGTAGAATATTTAGTTAAACCAGAATGTCTAAGCAGACACTTTCTTGAAATATAGCAGGTTTATAAACTATACTGTTCAAAATAATCTATAAATTAGTTCATTATACTCTAAATTACACATAATCAATTTTTAGCAAATTACTCACCCACTGGATATGTTCTGCAATTAAGCAGCCAACAACTTTTTTGTCATTAGAAATAAAGAGAAGAGTCTTAATTCTAGAAGAGCACATGAGTGGAGCTTGTTGGAATCCCAAGTCATTGTCTACCATCTCTCTAATTTCCTCAACCTGCCGAACAGAGAGAAAAAAATTTTTAAATTGAGAAAACCAGCATGATAGGGTTTGGAGTCAGATCATCTGGGTTCAAATCTTGGCTCTACCTCTCACTACCCATGCGATCTTCATAAATCTCTTAAAGCAGTAGAATTAACATTCCCTATACCTTAAGGATCACAGAACTTTGCCATCTTACTTGTAGCTGAAACCTTCCCTGTGTTGTCCCTCCCATTAGAATTTGAGTTCCTTGAGAACTGAGCTCATCTTTTTTTTTCTATTTGTATCCTCAGTGCTTTGCACTGTTTTTTACACATAATAAGTGCTTAATAAATGCTTTATTCAGTCAGTCAGTCAAACCCACTTAATTTTTCTGAGTCTAAATCTTCTAATCTATAAAATGAAAGGATGAGATTAGATCAGAGGTGTCAAACTCAAGGGCTCTCCAGTGGGTCCACAACCAGATTAAAATGCAATCAGGAGAAGTTTAACAAAATAAATAAAAATACAATACAATACAGATAATGCTAATTTGTGATTTGTAAGTCAATACACACGTGCAGGGATTGGTTTCTATTTGGGTTTGACACCAATAGACTAGATGATCTCTAAGGCTCCTTCCAACTCTGTATCAATGAACTTAGAAACCTATATGAAGATATCACATGTGTACAAAGGAGTACTACATTGAATTCAGTAAGTCATGCATAATTGGGATAACTTCGATTTCACTGGTATTGGGGAAGGCCCTCTACTAAAGTACCTAGGCAGATAAATGCCACAGTGGATGGAAGACCAGGCCTGAGGTCAGCAAGTTCTAAGTTCAAATCCAGCTCAGATACTTATCATTGGGCAAATCACTTAACCTCTATCTGCCTCATAATATCACCTACAAGACTGCTGTGAGGATCAAATGAGATAATTATTTGTAAAGCACTTAGCACACTACATGGCACACAGTAGGTGCTATATAAGAGCTATCACTTTTATTATCAGTATTATTATTAGTCAGTACTTCTCTGCAACTTACAGCCTTAAAGCTGGAGTTCTTGACCTTTCTGTGTCACAATTTTGCAATGTAGTGAAGCCTACAGACCCCTTCTCAGAATAATGTTTTGTTTTGTTGTGTTTTTAGTGAGGCAATTCGGGTTAAGTGACTTGCCCACAGTCACACAGCTAGGAAGTACTGTGTCTGAGGCCGGATTTGAACTCAGGTCCTCCTGACTCCAGGGTCATTGCTCTATCCACTGCACCACCTAGCTGCCCAGAATAATGTTTTAAAATGCGTAAAATAAAATACATAGGACTAAGAAGGAAACATAATGTTTAATTATCAAAATATTTAAAAAGCAAAAACCTCTTGCCCATTAGAGTTACCTAGAGCACTGAAAGTGTAACTGACCTGCCTAGGGTCCCAGGGCTATATAAACAAATGGAGGTTTTTCTATTTCGGTATCATGTATAACATGTAATTTGGTGTTTACTGCTTAATGCAATAGTCATACTTAAAGAATTAAAGGGTTTAGCATATAATGAAATTTTTTAAATGCCCTTTTTTTCTTGGGACAACGAACACACATACACACACACACACACACACACACACACACACACGAAATATCAAACTTAGCACAGCCTTGAAAGTTACATTAATACGCAGGGAGAACTGTGAATTAGTCCAATCATTCTGGAAAGTATTTGGAATTATGCTAAAAAAAGTGACTAAAATATCTATACCTTTAATGAGGAGATCCCACTTCTAGCCATATATCCCAAGGGAGTCAAATATAGAAAGAGAGGTCTCACATGAACAAAAATATTCCAAGCAGCCCTTTTATAGTAGCACAGAATAAAAACAATACAGGTGCCCAGCAAGTAGCAAAGTGCTCAACAACTGGTGGCAAATGAATGTAACAGAATATAAATACTAATATACAGAAGCAATATGAATTCAGAGAAGCACAGGAAGACATACAAACTTATTAAAAATAAAATAAGCAGAACCAGGAAAACAATGTAAATAAGGACTATAACAATGTAAAGAAAAAGAAAAAAAGAAAATTCAATGCTATGTAATTATAATGACCAAGATTGGCCCAGGAAAAATGTGGAGAAAATGCATCTCCCTCCTTACAGTGCAGGGCTATGTGGAATAGAGGATATGCTTTCAGATGATCACATCTGATCAAATATGTATATACAAAATTCCAATGTGTTCATTGGCTTTAATGAACTTCCTTTTTTCTTTTTCTTCTAAAATTTTTGCTACAAAGGATGGCTCCCTGGGTTAGGCAGGGAGAGGAGGTGGAAGATTATATTCAGGAAGAAAGGTGATGCAAGAACAAAAAGCATCAATAAAAAAGGAAGGAGGTTACACTATATAACCTTCAAAGGTCCCTATAGCCTTCTAATTGGTCTCCCTGCCTCAAGCCCTTCCACTTTGCTTCCAAAGTGATTTTCCTAAAGTACATATCAAACTCCACCCCCTTCCCTCCTCACTTCATCCCCCACCCCACTCCCCTGGGGCCAAACTCCAATGGCTCCTTATGATCTTTATGATCAAAAAAAGAATTTTTTTTTATTTGGCACATAAAGCCAAAGGTCCCATATGAACAAAGACTCTTTACTTTCCAATCTTCTTAAACTGAGCTCCTTTCCAAAAACTCTAGAATACAGGTGCACTGCCCTCCTTACATATGATGATCTATCTCCCAATCCTCCACTTTTTACAGGCTGTGTTTCCATGCCTCCTTACATATGATGATCTATCTCCCGATCCTCCACTTTTTACAGGCTGTGTTTCCATGGCTGGAATACTCTCCCTCCTCACCTCTGCCTCTCAGCTCCTCTGGCCCCCTTCATGATTTAGCTTAAATCCCACCTTCTTCAAGAGGACTTCCTTGGTCCCCATAGCTGCTAGTGCCTTTCCTTTAAGATTACCTTACATCTATTCTGTTTATATCTTGTATGTGCAGTTATTTATAGGCTGTCTCCCTCTTTAAAATACAAGCTTCTTTAGAGGCAAGACAGCATTTTTTTTTTTGGTATCCTCAGAACTTCACATAGGACTTGACACATTACTAAGTGCTTTATAAATGCCTGCTGACTATTACAAATCCTTTTATCTGTGTATCCCCAGCACCTTGTACATGGTAGGCTATGAATCTGTGAGAGGTGGCAGTAAAGTGTTATGTTCATGAAGCCACAAAAAAAATGTATCCAGAAATAAGAAAATAATCAGCTTCTTCACTATTATTTGACATAGTTCTGAAAATACTAGCAAAAGAAATAAGAGAAGAGAAAGAAATTAAAGGAAGACAGGTGAAGAGGAGATAGAACTATCCCTATCTGCTTACAATACAATGGTATATTCAGAAATTTCAGCAATCAGCAAAGACACTAATCGAGACAATTAACAGTTTCAGCAAAGTTGCAGGCTACAAAATAAATCTTTAAAAATCAATTGCATTAGTATATAACAACAAAGTCCAGGCAATAACAGAAATGTGAATTTCATTCTAGATAACCATAAAATGCATAAAGTATCTTGCAAACAATCTACAAAAGCACACAAAAATTTGTTCAAATTCAATTACAAAGTGCTCCTTACAAACATAAAGAACTTAAAAGCTGAAGGAATATTCAGTGCTCATGTTTAGGCTGTGCCAATATAATAAAAATGACAATACTATCAAAGTTAATTTACATTTTTAATCCAATACCAATCAAATTATCACACAAATGCTTCAGGGAACTTTATAAGACAACAAAATTCATTTGGAAAAGCAAAAGATGGAGAAAATCAAGGAAATGATGATCAAAGGAAAGGAGATAAGGATAAATGGGGGAAAGCACTTCAAGATCTCAAATTGTATTATAAAGTTATCAACAAAACCATCTGGTGTTGATTAAAAAAGAAAGGCAAGTCAACAGAATAGACTAGACTTTGAAGAATTAGAAATTATGGAACTCAATCCATGTTTGGTACATCGGAAAATATAAACTACTCAAGAAAGCACTCTCTAGTTGATAAAAACTACTGAGAAAACTGAAAAACAATCTGGCAGAAAGTAGGCTTAGGCCAACACCTTACCCCATATTCCACAATATATTCTAAATGGATACATGACCATATGTCATGTATGATTAAAGATCATATATAAAAAAAATTACAAAAGATATCAATAAAAACTTTTTTTCTAAAAGAAGGTAGTCAACAGTGTCTAAAGCTACAGAAGTCAAAGAAAATAAGAACAAGGGGGAAAGAAAAGGCCATTGGATTTGGCTACTGGGAGGCCATTGGTGAAATTTGAGAGAATATTTTCAGTAGAATATTAAGGACCAGAAACCAAACTGTAGGGATATGGGAGGAGAGAGACAGCATTGGCCAATATGAGTAGAAGAAATTGCTGCATTCAAGAAAAGATGACTCCTAGAACAAGGCCCAAGAAAAGATAAGAAGGAATGGGATCAAGAGTGCAGATAGGGGGTTTAGTTTAGAGAAAGCATACCAAGATACTTATCATCTATGACCATAAAAGAAGGGAAAGTATATAATGATCCTGCAAAGTTGTAAAGAAAAGAGGGGAGGAGCTAATGTCATATACCTTCTAACTTCTGCATGAGTAAGTGGGGCAAGCACAAGGCTAGGACTAGAAGAAGAGCTGCTAGGGGGAAAGAAACAGAGAGTTGACAGGGACAAAGTAATTTGCACTTCAAAAACCAATAAACACAATCAATGATTTCTTCAAAAAGAGAGGCAGAGGGGCAGTTAGGTGGCGCAGTGGATAGAGCACGAGCCCTGAAGTCAGGAGGCCCTGAGTTCAAATTCGACCTCAGAGCAAACACTTAACACTTACTAGCTGTGTAACCCTGGGCAAGTCACTTAACTCCAATTGCCTAAAAAAAGAAACAAACAAAAACAAAAAGAGAGAGGCAGGAGAACACAGTGAGTTCACAGCTCTTTTGCTTTTGATACATCATTTAGCTGCTTGAAGAAATTGGAAATCAAATAGAAAAAAAGTCAGTAAGCTGATACATAAAAGCCTAGCTATTATTATAAAACCACAAAGAAAAATATATTGCCTATTCAACAATAAATTATAATGAAAATTTACCTTTTTAAGTGCATACTTTGGGTCTTCAGGAAGAACCATTATTATCTTTCCATCAGGGTATTCAGCTAAAATTCTTTCCTTTTTCCACCCCTAAACAAAATGAATACATTCATATACTTTATTCCACACAGCCATTTAAAAGGAAAAAAGCAGCATCAATTTATCTGGAAATTTTCACCAATATCAATTATCTTATACATTAACATTTGTCTGCAAGGGCATGGCATAATTAGTTTGCCCATTTAAACACACATAGTTAAGCACAATGTAAGTTTCAGTTAAACTCTACTTATACAAACATACCCTCCCACTTCCTGATATAGCTAAAATATCAATATACCATTTCCCACTTCAAAATAATTCTGAAAGGTCTTAACTCACATTGCATGAAGCCCCTTAACAGTTACTTGTCCCCCAATGTAAGTTACCCTTCCCCAGATTCTTGTGAAAAGAACTTAACTCTTAAATTTATTTTGAACATGGTTACCTCCACAAACACACACTCATGGTTTTATGTCTGGCATGCGAAAGACCTCCAGGAGGTTTTAAATGAACTGATTTGCATGCAGTAGCCCAGTATGTAAGGTATAGTTTTTATTCTTATTGATCACAACTATCAAGAGTCACAAGAAGGAGACTATAAAAAATATAACTACCTTCTAAGAATCTAATGGGGAAGGAGGCTACGTTGTGTGTATCTGAAGTTAAACATACTCAAAAAAATAGAGGTAATTAATTCTTCTTCAGATCCACACTCGTGGTGATTAATGAGCAGAACCTGCATGAAAAAAAAAAAACAAAAAGCCACTTAAATCTAGTAAGATGGGACTGAACCAGAGGTTAAACTAGGAGCTTTGAAGTTCAAAATAAATACAGAAGGAATGAGCTGAATGGGTTGTTCCACTTGTCTTACCCAAGCAAAAAGGCCTTTGGAGAAGCAATATTAGTACTTCCTATAAGAACAGACCATCATCTTCTTTTTGAGATCTGTGCTTTCTAAAAATGTTAAAGCTGAATGAAACCAAGATAAAGGCAAATGGACTTCTTCACTTAATTTCATTTAATACTGTTGACAAAGCTTAGAGTAGTTTTGTTATTTAATGACTTGGGATGTTTTGTTATGTTGGTTAGAAAGATTCTGTTAACAAGGCTTGATGATATGACCATATGATCATACATAAAATTTCTGGGTAAACCCTAAGATTTCTTTGCTAACTCTAACAGCATCTGTAAGGGCCATACAAGTTAAGATCCTGTAACTCTGCCTGGTATGCTGTCCTCAAATTTTAATTTAAGGAAAAAAGAAAAAGCAGAAACAGTCTTAGAAGACTTTCTTAAAGAAGAAACTAAGAAAAGTTACATCACCATTATACTACTTTCTCTCTGTGTCTCTCTCATCTATCTATCTAAGATATATATATACACATACATACATACACATATATATATATATATATATATATATATATATATATGTATATCCCAATACAAAGAATCAGCAAATCAGAGGCATATAGACATCACTCTTTATAAACACAGCATTTTCACAAATAGCTTGATAAGTTTTATGAATTTTGAAAATAAAGCTCATTTCCACCAAAGAAAAGCTAGAGGTTTTTCACTTGATTAAACAATAAATTTTTTACTAAAGAACAAATAATTTAAATAACTTTTTAAAAATGCCATACTTTCTAAGCTATTTGAAGACAATCTAACCTGCATTTTTTTCATTTGGTTTGTTACTTCAATGTCACTCAACTGCTATTATATGATTTGATAAGCCCTTTTAAAAAATAACATTAAAAAATAACACATTTTATTGTGTTATTTTTCCACATTTATTGAGAGCTTCTTAAAATAATTTCGTAGTTAAAATGCAGACCAAGATTAGTATAAAGATGAAAAGAATCAGAGCTGGAGTAGACCTTAGAGATCATTTAGTTCAAGCTTCTTCTTTTATAATATATGTGGAAAATTAGGTCTAGTTCTTTCACAATGAATTTGAAGGGACTATCCAAATTATTCTCTCATTAGAATCTTATACAGATTTAATGGAATAAGTAGATAGAAATTTTATCATATTGAGATAAGACCTGTATTGATAGAAATTTTATCATACTGAGATAAGACCTGTATTTATTTATATTTTAATAGTATAATTTTTCCCTTTCCAGCTATCTTGACAAAAAAGCCTTTCACAAATGAAAAAGGGAAGCAACAGAAAACAATAAATATACACTACCACCTATATGACCAATGGTTTTATTTGGGTTAAAGAATATTATATTATTTGTATTACTAATTAATATTTTGAAATTAGAAAAAATAGAACATCATCAAATATATCAAAATAGGAGTAAAAAACAAGAGAATGGATAAGCCTAATCTCAAAGCTATGAAACTGCCTGCCTCTGTGCTCTAAGATCATCCTCTATTTGCTATCTTTTCAACTCATTAGTCATATATTCATACATACATACACACACACACATATACATACATACATACATGCATACAACTACACAGACAATGAAGACTGAAAGTTATTAACAGTCTCCAAGTAAAACTGTGAACTGAACTCTGCTGTCCAAGATTATTTGGGGACCGTAATAGATGTGAAGGAAGGACAGCTCTAAAGGGGACACACACACACACACACACACACACACACACACACACACACACACAAAAAAGGATGTTTATAAGGACTTTAACAATTTTAATACCTAATCTGAAATAAATTTATTTAGGGATTTAAAAATCATTGTCTCTGCTAAGGGAAAGGAGTGAGAAATGACGTCAACGTGTTTTAGAAGAGAGAGCTCATGTCAAATAGCCTGAATTTGAACCACATATACAAAGGCAACAACATAAAAACAACTTTGGAAGATTCTGGAACTCTGATCAATGCAATAAGCCACAAGTCTGGAGGGCTGAAGAGAAAATATGCTATACACCTCCTCACCAGAGAGGTGATATACTTAAAATGCAGAATGAGACATACATTTTTGGACATGGCCAACACAGAAATTTGTTTTGATAGATATAAATGTCTTATGGGTTTTCTTTTCCTTTTTATTGTTTGATGAGGGAAGAAGTGTCTGTGGAAGGGAGAAATAACAAATGCTAATAAAATAAATTTGAAAATAAAATCAATGTAGCTAATAATTAGCACATTCTGGGTTAAAACTGATGTTTATATTCACACAGTTCAGAATAACTATATTATCATCTCTCCTTAGAATGTTTAGGGCTTCAGATGTCAGACACTTTAAGCATTAAAACATCTTAAATTCTGTCATGTCTTATTTGCCAGCATATGTCAACTCCTTGGTCACATTTATAGTCTAAAAATATGCAATCCTTAACACGCTGAGCACCTTTCTGAACTATTCCTACATAACCACTACAAAAGCACAAAGAGGTCATGAAGGACTGATGGTAATATTTAATTTTTTGTTGTAGAGCACTGAACCAGAAATAGCACTATAAATATTATCAAAGAGCCAAACGGTCAGAAAAGGAGGTGGGCCAGACATGTAGAAAGAGAGAAGAACTAACTAATAGCCTACATTGTTGCTTTGAAAGCCACATAAAGTCAGAAAAATCTAACCAAAGGCCTCCACATAGCAAAGAGAACAAAGAAAAACTGGGTTTGAATTTCAGCTCTGCAAGTTTCTACTTCTGTTGACCTGGGCAACTACATCATCCACTCTCCTAGGGTCTCATTTCCTCACTAAATTAGGGAGTTGGAGTAAATGGCCTCTAAGACCTTCAAGCTCTAGATCTATCAATCAATCAACAAACATTTATTAAGTGATTAGTACCTGCCAAGCCCAGGAGGGCGGGAGTGGGGGAGGGGGGTACAAAGATAAAGAATGATATAGCTATAATCTCAAAGAACTTTCATACTATATGACTCCTATGGAACATTTACAGGATATAAACAAGCATCTCACAAGAAGTTAAAGCACGGACAGACTGAGAGCTACATAACTGGAAGAAATACAGATCCATCCAACTATCTATTTTGAAGATAAGGCAAAAGCTAATATATGAAAGAATTACACTAAAACTGCCTGTTAAAATGTCAAATGCAGCATACTTAGGTTCTTAAATATGTGAGTTATATGTATATGTTAGGGTCAAACTAACTTTTAAAAAATGTAAATACCTAAACATCTCAAGCAATTAATTTTTAAAAGGACTACGTCAGACACTTCTTTGGAGCAACTGTCTTAGAAAGCAGTCCATGTATAATTCATCATGACAAATTTTATTTTGCACTTCAATACTACAGTTTGTGACAGCAATCCAACCAGACCATTTTAAATTGTAAACTAAACTATCCAAACATTAAATAATGTCACTTAAAATCTGTAAGTACAACTATTAGAAAAAACTGATGAAATACAATGGATCTTAACTTCTAATCTAGATTTCGACAATGGCCTAAAAGGTTTTAAATAGTCGCTCAAGACTTGCATGTGCTTAAAAATTATCTTTCACTTTTTATACTGCTATGATACTTATTCACTGTAGCATCAGAAAAATGTAAGAGAGCTTCAGGTCTTAATTTACCACTCTCACTTGTTCACTTTTATATATCCAAGTTTTTCCTCTAAGAGAAGGAATACGATCAAATACAATACAACAAGAGAAGAGAATACAATCAAAGCTGGGGTAGATCTTAAATATCATCTGGCAGGTAGCCTAACTTTCATGAAAAGTGATGTCTAAAATAATTTAGTGTCCCCTTTGGCTAATACAATATGTAAGGGGCAGCTAGGTGGCCCAGTGGATAGAGCACTGGCCCTGTAGTAAGGAGGACCTGAGTTCAAATCTGGTCTCAGACCAGACACTTGACACTAGCTGTGTGATCCTGGGCAAGTCACTTAACCTCAACTGCCTCACAAAAACAAAACCAAACAAACAAACAAAAACCACAATAGCTAAGACTAGGGCTCTTAACTACAGAACCAGATCACAGCTCTTTCTCTCCCTCTGCCGAGAAAACACCAAGAAGAAAATCTATCTTGTGCTTTGGAAGGTAAAAATTCTGACATTTTGCTCTTTAAAAAAAAATTAAG